CAAAGTTACTGTATTATTTATGCAAAGGCGTAAAGTCTTTAAAAACCTAAGCAAATGCTTACTTTATAATACATAAGAGATAAGTTATCAAGAGAAAAAAAGAGGTTGATATCCTGGAACTGAGCTATCATTTTGCATTAGTATTGAATAAAATTTAGTAATAGTGGAAATGTTGTTTTTGAGAAACCATGCAAAATTGAAGTCAGGATAAATGGTTGCATGTATTTCATGTGTATTTTGCATATGAGTACTGCATTATCTCCTGCAAACTCACTAAATGTGTAAGTTTGTCACTTTCTGCTCTCAACTCCTATGTACAGTCACTCTTTACTAAGTGGGAAATTGCTGCTATCTGCTTTGAAATGACTGTTTCTGTACAACCTGAAGGAATTATATAAAGTACAATTTTTTGTCTCTGGGCTGAGCAGGAAATTATTCTTTTGTTAACTCAGAACTCCTTTTTTGAATTAATATAACCACTTGAGATGATCAGAATTATTGGGTTGGCAATTCTATTCAACTATTGAAAGTACCTCTTGGGCTGGGATTACTGTGGTCAGTGATGTTTTTGGTTTCACTTCCTCATACAGGCTGTGACTGATAAAATTTCTCCTTAAAATTGTCATATATGGGGTACTCCAGCAAAAGCCAGACACACCACAGAAATTTATGAAAAGGTGGCAACTGAAGGCCCCTGAAGTTGAATAGTGGAAGTGCTGGCACCAGTAATGGTGTTGGGAACTAGAATCTATTTTGATTTGGAGTCAATCTAATCTAATTTGTGTCTTCCTTTTCCTGCAAATGATGCTGAATTTTTCTTAAGGTTGATTATGACACGGCTGCAGACCTCCTGCACTGCAGAGACAGTGAACCGTACTATCTGAAAAAAATCACATGTAAATCCTGAATTCTGTTCCCAAATCCAGAACCTGAATTTGGTTCTGCTCATACTTTCTATCACAAGTGTGTGAATGTTGTGAAGATAAACATAGGATAGAAATATTCAAAATCCACTGCAGATCTGGGCATCACTAGAAAGATGTGAATCACTGTTTTTTTTTTTCCATCCTGTCTCTTTCAGGGAGAATCGGCAGCGGTTACAAGATGACTTAGCAGAGATGATAACAAATATTCTTCAGAAAAGGGAAAGTGAAGGGTTCAAGCCAAGGGAAATTTCACGGGTAGCTAGCTACCGATCAGGTACCCTGGAATACCTGCAACTGGCCAGCACAGAGAAAACTGCCACGTATCTTTAAAACTGGGTGTCCAGTGTGACTCAGAAAGCTGCAGCAACTCTCTGGAGTACTTCATGTGAAGGGTGGAGGCTTATACTCTCAGCTAGAGGAGAAAGAAAATGCCTTTTCAAGCATCTTTTCTACCATCCGACCTGCTATCAGTAAATTAAAACTCTCTTCATCGTAATGTCAAAATTGTCGGATGACTTCAGTAGGACACATGCAGCCTGATTTGAGGTAAATGAAAATATCTTCACTTGAGTCTGGAAAATAGGGGGTTTTGGGGTTCGGTTAGTTTTTTAAATGTGATAGCCTGTTCCGTAATCCAATTCTGAAAATAGTCACAGCAAAACCTTAATTTTTCATGATTTTAAAATGTTATATTTAATTTGTAATTTTTATTTGAAGAAAGATTTGCTATAATATATTGAAAATAACATTAAACATATCATATGTAAATCCTGGATATGTTGCCATTTTGCTGCTTCTGGTTTTTTCCCCTGTGTCTCATGGGTTTTGTTTAATCAAGCTGACTTTGTTCAAGAGACAACACTTCTGTTATTTACCTTGGGAGATTACTCCAGAAGTTGTGTGGTTTCTAAAGCTTATCTGAATTTCTTGGGGCTGAAAAATGAAACTGGAAATTTTGCAAAACCAGTCACTTTCATATCTTTTCTCCACTTCTGCTTCTGTTTCCAAACCAGAAGTGCAACAGAAATGAAGGAAACAAACGTATCTGAATTTCTTAAACCTCAGAAACTTTCAATTCAACTTTTGGATGAAGTTACACAATGAGGCAGAACTCAGGTTTTACTGAAATGACTTGCTCATTAACTGACACCATGACATTTACAAACAGCTTTAAAAAGCAACCAAAGCTCAGGTGACGCACGTAAAAGAAAATCAGCATTCACATGAAGGAATAATAACTAGGGAGTTAAATTTTTGCAAAGGCCTCTTATGCATTTATGGTTTTCAAAGCAGAGCTACTTCTTTCACCACTGCTAAATACCAGTCAGTATTCAAAGCATAAAACTTGGTACAAAATCATTCTTTTAGTGTTTCGAATGGCATTTTTGTCCAAGTAAACAATGGAAAAGTGTTACAAAAAAGAGGAAGCTGGTTGCCTGTATTTTTTATCAACCTAAACCGGCTTTGTAAGAATACACATACGCACACAAAAAGAACAACCTAGGTGTAAACAGACATATCTCAAGTGCAAAGATTCCTAGAAAAATTAAACCAGGGGTGCTGTAGGGCTTATACTCTTAATGATTGCAAATTCCTACATCCTGGAACACGATATAGACAGAAATAGCAGATAGCATGTAACCAACAACCGCAGCTTTCAGATTGTATGTAACCAATCTTAAACTTGGGCTGACACTAATACCATACCATTACTTCTTGGGACTGTGTCCTAATGGAAGTGTTCATTGGGATAAGGATAGAAAAAAAAATGACTGGCATTCTAAAATTGGTGTATATTAAAAGAACTACCAGTATAGTAAAGAAATATAAAGTCTGCTATTTCTTGCGCTGTGGTGCCAATCAACAAGCTTCGTCTGTATGTCTGCATTCCTGGGTGCGACTGCTGTGCTTCCTGGCACCACTGGGCTATTCTGGCTGCTGTATCTGATACGCTCAGCAAGTGTAGCTGCAAGGCAGCGAGAAGCATTGGGCTCCTCAGGCCTGAAGAAACCCACTACCACTACTATCTTAAGCAGAGTCTCTATCATCTTTGAAGTGTTGTAAATCTATTTTTAAAGAGGAGTTTTATGGGTCCCGTTCTTGACACCTCCTAGATACAAATTATTTTAGAGCAAATGTCTGCTGACACTGATTGAGACAATTAAGTTAGTTTTCAGTAGCCCTTCTCTTTCCTGCATTCTTCAGATCTTCATATAATTCTTTGAAGATTAATAGTTACCTTAGCAATGAGTTGATGGACCCATTTTCTGGTAGGTTTCTTTTCTACATAGTGGTATCACTGCACGTATCTGTCACCCATACATCACAATAAAATAAATTTTTACTTCCCTTTTTAAAAATTTGCTGCTGGTTTCTGGTTTTAATCTCTCAGATTCAATGTCTTACCACTGCATCTTGTTATCAAATGTTAGATCAAAGAGCCCTCTACCATCAGAAGTCTGTCAGTGAATGTTATTTACCTCTTCTGCTTCTTTTTTTAAGCAGTGAAACATTATATTGAAAAACTAGTGTGAGATTTAATCTTGCATTTCTCCAAGTGGAAAGGATTTTTGCTGCACCATCAGCATTCATTTGAGCTTAACTCACACACAAAAAATTTCTGTGAATCCCTATACTGGGAGCATGTAGAAGTGAATCTTTCCAAATATACAAAAAGAGCCTTGTAGCTTTGATCATATTCAGACTCCCCCCTTGTCTCCATCTCATTTTTGTCATGCATCCGCACTGCCCTCCTGTTTCAACATTGTAAATTTGTGCTCTCTATCCTAGTCTGCATGTCCATCCAATTTCTGGCCATGCCCATCACTTATACACAGAGAATCTGCTTTTGAATACTTTTTTTCTCTGTACTAATCATATAACAGGGAATTCTGTGGAAAACATAATTTTGTATTTTACTTCACGAACACAGTCAAACTGAGAGCAGCATGTGTCAGAGGCCAATTTCTCATTTGGAAAAACCTTTGGAAAATATTCCTCCAAAGCAAACACAGCATCCATTCATGATTAGACATTTAAGAGTTGTTTTTCACTGGAGAGTCAAAAATAAAAAATAAAAACACTGTGTTTTATCCTTATCTCTTAGTGAAAAGTAGCCCAGAACAAAACAGCAATGGGTATGGACAGATTCTTGCAGCCGGCAGCAGTGTTATAGTGCTCTTAACCTGGGCTTGAGGCCAAGTCTTGCTATTTGGCCTGAACTGGTTGGCATGTGACCTTGTTATATGAGGCTATTACAGGCATTGATATCAAATTTGAACTATCTTGAACAATTACTGAAACGTAAAAATCCTAATAACGGCTGTTTGAGGACAGTGGTAGAAAAGCCAACACTAGGGGAGAAGAAAAGGCAGCATCTCAAAATTATCTGAATCACAGGGCCAGGGGAAGACGCCTCAGTAAGTTGTCCCTATCTGTAAACCCTAAGAAAGAGTCCATCCCTCACCTTTTCTGCTGGGATACGCGCAGCGGTTCTTCTCCTTGACAGGGGCAAAAGCTGCTCTGATGTAAAATCCAGTTTGGTAAGTCACCACCCAACTCCTGCTGCTTTTACGAGGGGGTCTTTGCTGATAAACCTTCACCCCGTTTTGGTCCATCACCTTGGCAAGCCCCGCGGCGCAGCAGGCGCCAGCTTGGGGCTCCCTCCTCACTGCCTCATGCCGTTCGAGGCCGGCCAGCCTGGAGCGAACCCCACAGGCCTTGGGGGGCTCCAAACGAGCGCCGGGGTGACTTCATGCCCTCCCCTTCAGCTTCCGCCATTTGTGAGGGGGTGTGTGGCAGCTGGGCCGGAGGAGCAGCCGGCAGCCCCGGACCCAACTGCCACCTCAGCGCCTCTGCCGCGACGCTTTGGGCGGGAAACACGGTGTGAAGAAGCGGCCACCGCCACGGCCGGCCTCCCCCAGGGGCACATCCCGCAACCCAGAGGGGAGAGGGCGGCCGGTGAGGGCCACCCCCAGCACGGGGCGCCAGGGCCGGGGCGGGCGCCCGAGGAGGCGGGGGCAGCGGCGAGACCTGCCCTGAGCGGGGGAACTTTATTAAAGTCCCGCCGCCTCCCAGCGCCCAGAGGAGGCGCGGGGGAGCAGCGGCATGGCCCGACTCGGCGGCGGCGTGTGCTGCTGCTGGCTCGTCCTCCTGTGGGCGGCAGCGGGGGGCCGAGCAGGTGAGGCGAGCGGGGCGGCGGGAGGCCGGCCCTGAGGGGAAAGCTCCTGAGGGAAGCCTTGTCCCGGAGCCCCCTCGCCGGGGCGGGCGGGCAGGAAGCAAGGCAGGAGGAAAGGGAGTCAGACAGACAGCGGGGCTACCCCCACCCCCGGGGGTGCCAGGCGACCGGGAGGGGCTGTCCCGCCGGCGGAACCTGGCCCGAGGCTTTGCCGCGGCTCCGGGGGAGGCTCTCCCCGGGGGACCCGCCGGGCTCCGCGCCTCGCCTTGGGCAGCAGCTCCTCGCTGCGCCTCCTCCCCGGCTGGCTCCGGGGAGGCGGGGGAAAAAGTCCCTCATGCCGCTTTGGGAATGGGTGCCAGGCGGCGAGAGGACCTCGTCCCCCCGGCCGTGGCGACGGTTAAGCCCCTCCAACACCCGGAGGGACCCTGCGGGCCGAGAAGGGGCCCGGCTGCCTCATGGGCTCGGTGTGAGAGCGCCTCACGGCCCGTCGGCCGGGGCGGGCTGGGCCCCGGTGCCTCGTGGGTGTTAAGGGCTGGCACCTCATTCCTGTGTGCTTTAAAAACATCTTCCCCCTTCCCGGCATGGACGAAGGGAAGCAAACTAAAGGTTCAACAGGTGGGAAACTGCCTTGAGCTCCTGGCGCTGCTGGTTTTCGATGTAATAGGTGTGCACGGGAACCATTTAGGATGGACACTTCGTTTTGGTGCTGTGGCCTCGCAGCGTACCGCGACTTGCATCCTTAGCGGAGTTTTAGTGCTGACTTGTGGGTATAGGCCATCATCTGCTTTTCAGAACTTGTGCCTATCTGATGTTTTCTGAGTAAACTTGTTTTGCCATTAATTTCCTGCTGTCTGATTAACGTTTTGAACTTGTTTTCTCTGGTGCAAACACCACTTCAGGTGAATTTTGTGGTCACAGTTGGTTTTTAGCATATATTTGCATAATAAACTTTTTCTGTCAAAGTTGTAAGGCCCCAATTAGGGTAATTCAAGAAGTGAAACTTTGTAACACTTTTGATCTTTCTCTGTTGACTACTATAGCTTTTCTGTCTTTTGATTTTAGAGCTTTATTCGTGTTGCAACTTCAGAGTCAGGTTTGTGTGCAAGTGGAATTTGGCAAATGCCATAATGTCATGTTTTGCTGAGCTTCACGGTTTTCCATAGTGTCTTGGCTTCCTGCTTAAAAATTGAATTTCTGCTTCTGGTATGTTTGAGAAACATTGCACCTGTGGACACAATGTGGCAGCTAACTATGTGCTAGAAAAGACGTGCCAGTCAGGTATGAACACAGGATTTTTTATTTTTTTTTCATTTCAAAGTATGAAGTGGCTTTACCAGCAACTGGAAGAATAGGGAAAGTAGTCACTAAAGGTGGGAATTTAAAGGGTGCTGAGCAAGTGTGGAATATGTGAAGGTGAAGCTGCCTCTGGAGGATCACTAAAAGTCAGGGATGGACAGCAGCCATTTAGAGCAGGATGCCTATGAGAGAATTCTGGATACCATTTGTACTGATGGTTATAGTAGGGTTGTTGGGGAGCAAATGTCAGCAGGAGAATATCTCTCTCTTCTGCTGCTTTCAGTGAATATTGAAGGTGTTAAAGGCTGGATTCAGTGCTTATCTTCTAGGAAATTCCTAGTTAATTTATTAATTGCCACAAAACAAGGAGAAATTAAGATAACTCTTGTTTTAATGTCCAAAGTGTTACAAGCATCTCGTTTTACCGACAGTCCTACCTCATTTTGGAGACTTACTTTTCAAACCTTACCTGAATTGGCGAAAGCGTTTAGGTACTGTATTAGCAGGGCTGAAGAAAGCATTGACCACGGATCATGCACAGGGGAGTAGTTTCAGCTAATACCTGACTGTTTCCTCTCATCATAATTGAAGTACTGGTAGAAAACTACGACGTAGCAAATAAAAGTGCCTTTGGCTATTTAATGGAGTGAACTTGGCCTTCAGCACTGTGAATTGTCTAGACTTTTTTTTTTTTTTTTTTATTGCTTCATTGTTCTTTAGAATTTTGAGCACCTTGAAGATTCTTCATCATACTGTTTGGAAACTGTTTCTAGAGAACATTCTCTGTTTAAACTTGACTTGAGGGACTATAAGACTAGTGAAGCTACTTGTGAAATTATTATTTTTGCTACCTCTGTGGATGACCTATACTGGGGACCTGTAACTGTTCTGGCAAGCTTTCTTTCTGCATCAGCTAAGCTTTGCTAGTATGTATCCTTGGGAGCATGAAAACCATACAAGACTCAAACTCTTAATTTATAGTTCACAGTTGAATATTGCATCCCTCTCGTGTAAGCACAAATCAGGGGATTAGGCTTCAAATAATGACAGGCTTGTTAGAGACAAATTGAAAAATTACTTAGACCTGAAATGTATGAGGAAATAGGATGAATTAAGGCCAGTAGAACAGAAAACACAAATAGCTTATATCCCAGCAGAACAAGAAAGCATTTACTCCTTTAATTGAAAATTACTGGGTTTTGTGTTAAGTTCTTGTGTGGTTTAAGCTAATCTCTAAAGAAGTCCTGAAATACTTACATTCATTTTGTAATGGATTCCAATCATAACTCTACTTTGAAATCTCAATTGTATTAGAGGCAGACAACCTTTTAAAAACAGTTAAAAGGATGGTTCTAAAATTTTTAATGGGGAAATAGGACAAACTCTATCAAGTTACAAAATTGAACAGGAATATCAGGTGCTCCTTATTATGGTTGACCTGAAATATTTTAAATGCTATACTGTGCAAATACAGTCTTTACTAGTGAACACTTAGCTGTAGGAGAGGGTATACTAAAAACAGGAAATGTGCAACTTTGTGCTAGGCTTTTTGTGTTTCTAAGTTGTGCAAAACTGCTTTTCAGTGAAACAGTACAGTGATAGCTTCCTTATTTAGTGGAAAGCATGTAAGTGAAATCTTTTAAGTTCATCTGAGCACCTCTACAAAAAAAAGCTTCACCTTTAAAAAGCCGTAGCTGAAAATAAGCATGTAAAATAGTAGTTGGTAGTTAAGGAGGCCAGTGGTTTTCCTATTATTAGGAGATACTCACAGCTGTTAACTTAATTTGGCTTGTTACATGCAACCTAACTGGTGTTTCATTGATTGTGAGTTAACTTGTTTCTCAGACTAAGGAAAAATATGAATATTAATTCTCACCCCTAAACCTTCTAGTTCTTTCATTTCAGTTCTGTTAATTTCTCTAATTAGAAAGTACAGTAGCCTATCTAGATATGTGTATGTTTCAAAAGCAACTTATAGTTGGGAAAGCATAAGGAAAAGCAGCTGTTACATGTTGCTGATCAAATTTTACTGGCATTCATAAGACATGTCAGGTGTTATTTTTGTAGGTGTAATTTATTTAATAAATATTAGTGGCAGTTATCAAATAGTGTGTTTGTTAGATGGTGTTGGGCCATCTCGCTGTACTGTTCTTTGTTCTTCTTTCTCGCATTCTCTGTCCATTCTGTTCTTTCATTTCAAGTTACTGCTATTCTTTCATGTTCTCTTCAGCATCTGATTTCTTCTTTTTTTCATCTTGCCTCAGTCCGTTCACTTAGTATTTCCTTTAATTGCTTTCTCTATGGTCTCACAAATGCATATGTATTTCCACTCTCCCACTGCCACCAAATAAAAGACAAGCTCCACTTTTAACATTGCCTTGGCAATGCCTGTATTGAGTCAAAAAGGCAGAGAACAGATTTGGCATTTTAGCCTGAAAACCAAGGGGGCTGCCATCACCTGCTAGCCACCTCTGAAATACCTTCATTTTTTTCTGTTATTTAGTGTATAATTTTGGCAAAACGTAGATACTTCTCACTTGTTGAAGAAGTTCCAGCACTCTCCCAGCTACATCCTAGATCCTATTTCTTGATCTTTATTTGGCAGAAGCATTGGTGTATCTTTAAAAAGAGGCTCTGTGAGGAAATGTTCCTCCCAGTCCCTACTGACTGCAGAAAGGAGAAGAAATACTTGTTTTTTATTTCCAGGCTTGATTTGTCATTGTACTTCTCCACTTCTGTCTCCCATCATACAGTGCACTGGTGGTTGTGGTGGAACTGGGCATGGCTGATGCTACGCAGTTTTCCTGGCTGGCTGGTTGCACAGAGGGGAATGGTGACTCCACTGACCTACCCTATCCCCAGGGATTTTGAGTCATTCATTGCAGTAAATAGTGTGCTTTGGCTTGATATTTAGGTTATTCTAAGCAGTGCTGTTATGGAATAGCCACAGATTATCACAGCCTTTTTTGCTCTTCAGAGTCCTGAGAGCAGGCAGTAGGCTGAAATAGTTGTCAGGCTTCTCAGCTACGCGCTGGGAAGTCTAACTTTGACAACAACAGGATGATTTGTAGATTCATGGAGACGCTGCACTTGATTTGTATGTAAGAAGTCAGCATGCTAGAGCTGCTGTCTCACCCCCTAAAAATAAGTATAAAAAATGCCAGTGTTATCCAAGGGGAAGGTTCCTATTTTTGCAGAACACATCTGGGATTGTTTGGAAATGTGCAGTTGCTTCTTGTATATCTATATTCCATGTTATGCTTCAGTTCTAGGTGGTTTTCTTCGCAAACGTAGTGCTGCTAGTTTAGATGAACGCAGATTTAAATTGTAACAGACTGGGTGATGGCAAATGCTTTGATTATATTGTAGTTTAAATGTACACAGATTTATAAGCTTGTAGTTTTAACTCCATTTGTAGCAAGATAAAGGCTTGCAATTACTATAATTTAGATGGTATGTTTATGTATATGCTTCTTGAAATAAGCATAGCGATTTCATATGTAGGTATTTTAACACTTTAGACCAGGGCAATTAGATTTGCAGGAGTGGACATAAAAATTAATGAGGTGAAATGGGACGATGAGTGAATGAGTTGGTGGTGGTGGGGGGGGAATCAGTAATGGGAAATGGTCTTTTCCAGCATCATTAAGTCACATCTATGGCAGCTACCTTGATGCTGCACCTCTAAAGGCCTCTCGAGGTTTGTTGCAAATTATCCTGTAATTTAATGTTTCTCTCTTCTCTCCCATCCTCTTCTAGTGCTGGTTTTCTTCAGCTTAAATTTGTCATAGAGTGAAGTTGGGGCAGGGCAAACTCCAAGAGTAATTTTAAAGTTTGTTCTGACTTTTGAAAATAGCTCTGCATGTTCATGCTCTGGCAGAGCATAAAACAAAGAAACACAGCCTGCTGTGTTAGAATACCCGTGTCAGATCAGTCTGTCTGGCACCAGCATCAGCCTTCTTTTAACAAAATAAAGCAATGGCTATTTTGCTTTAGGCAGAAGAAAGTTTATTTGACATACCTATTATGTTTTGGGCACTAATAACAATACTCAGCTGCCTTGGTTCCTCTTGACTACTTGCCACCTCTCCACAGCCTACTGAAGAGATGGGAATATAATCTTTTCCTCCACTTTGTTCTTGTTCTTTTTACCCATTCCTCAGCTGTCCTTTTGTATGGGGTACACGGCCTGTCTGTCCTCTGCCTTCCAGTGGGCTTCTTGGTTGGAATCAGCCTTCCCCCTTACTGATGGACAGGGTAGTGTCTTCTGCACCAACCTCTTGCACCACTTCTTCACAGGTTCTCCCTTTCCCTGACCTCTTTGCTTATTTAAGCTCCAGCTTTGTAAGATGGCCTTTGGCTCTCTTCAGGGATGACCCTTATCAGCCTGCTCTTCTTTTTATAGATTTTCAGTCTGAGCAATTGCCATGTGTACCCTGAACCTAAAGTAGCAATTACTGTGTGTATTACTAGAAAATAGTTAAAGAGACAACAGAAAACTAAGATTATAACTGCTTGGAGAGTTATCCAAAGTATGTCATGTCTCGGTCCTTTAAATAGCTTCAGTACCTGGCAGATGAAAAACATGTTTTTAAACACTGTGTTCCCAGTCCCTGAAATGACTTCATCTCTAAATAGATTCACTTAAAGAATTTCTTGCTAGCGCTTTTCCTCTTCACATGAGAAGTGTCTCTAGTACATGATGAAGACTGGCATAGTGTGTACTGGTACAAAGTCTTGCTGGAGGCCAGTGATTAGTGGTGCATGCCAGCAGTCCATACTGTTCAGCATCTTCCTTAATGATCTGGGTGGTGGGGCAGGGTGTACCCTCAGCAAGTTTGCTGTTGACACAAAGCTGGAAGAAGTGGCTGGTACGCTAGAGGGCTGTGCTGCCATTCAGAGAGACCTTAAGAGGAGGGAGAAATGTGCTGACAGGAACCTCATGCAGTTCAACAAAGGGAAGTGCCAAGTCCTGCACCTGGGGAGAAATAGCCTCATCTGCCAGTATAGGCTGGCAGATGGCTCTTTGGAAAGTAGCTTTACAGGAAAGGGCCTGGAGGTCCTGGTGGACACCACACTGAATATGAACCAGCAATGTGCCATTATAGCATTAAAAGGGTAACTGTCCCCTGAGCTGCATGAGGAAAAGTGTTGCCAGCAGGTCGATGGAGGTGATCCTTCCCTCTGTTTAGTACTGGTAAGGCCCTGCCTGGAGTGCTGAGTCCAGTCAGTTCTGGACTCCCCAATACAGGAGGGATCTAGAACTACTGGAGAGAGTGTGGCAAAGGGCTACAAAGGTGATTAAGGGACTAGAGCACTTCTCACGTGAGGAATGGCTGGGAAAGCTGGGCCCGCTGCAGCTGGAGCAGAGAAGGTGCAAGGGGGAATCTCATCAATGTGTACAAATACTTGAAGGAAAGGTGTCAAGAAGGTGGATCCAGGATCTTTTCAGTGGTTCCCAGGGGTAGGACCCAAGGCAATTGGTACCAACTGATACACAGGAGATTCCCTTTGAATATCAGGAGGCACTTCTTTACTACGAGGGTGAGCGAGTTACTGGCACAGGTTGCCTAGAGAGGTAGTGAAATGTCCATCTTTGTTAATACTCAGAAACTATTTGGATATGAATTGTAGGCAGCTGGCTTTAGGTGACTCTGCTTGAGCAGAGGGGTTGGACAAAATGACCTCCAGAGGTCCCTTCTGACTTCAGCCATATTGCTTTTTTAATGGTTCTTTTATCATAGCATGCATACTAAGTATTTTGTGTAAGAGCATCCAGAATTAGATCTAGCTCTCTTATTTTGCAGCTGTTACAGGCATGATACACAAAATGAATTGTTGTGAGTAGTAGTAATGAAATTGTAATTTCTTGCTATAAACTGGCAGGACTAGTTGCCAGTTGCCACACACTGGAGAAGAGTCAGGGGAATAAAAACACTGTGGGTTTCTCAGTAGTTGCAAGTATTTGAGTTTAGCCCTTAAAACTTTTGAAATGTTCCTGGGAACTCTGACTCATGATTTTTGAACTCTTTTCACTTGCAATACTGTAATTGTGATTTGATGAGTCACAAATAGAGATGGTTCTTTTTTTTTTTTTTTTTTTTTTGAAAGCAGTTCACCTTGCTCTTTGGTCTTCAGCTCAGCAGGATTAAAACCCAACTAATGAAGAATGTTTCTTAAACAGCTGTCCAAGCAGAACTCTGAGCAGTCTAGTGCCCTTTTTTCCTGTTCATTTCACACTTGGGATCGATTCTGTTTCAGCTGGGTGATAGGGATTGTGTGTGTTAGAAAGGATTGCATGCCTGTGGTGCTTTTGTCTTTAACCTTGTGATCCACTGAGTTCTAGTGCTCTTGTTAGGTCATGCCACCTCCAGGATTAGTAGTCCAGAAAGACAGTTTAGAAACTTTTGCCACCTTTTCAATCTTTAGGTGGAAAACCAAGTCAGCAGTAGTCAGTTGCCAAAGCATGCTGTGTTGTAAAGTTACTTTCCATAAGATTTGTATAGATTTACTTCTGGGCCAGGTAAGGAAGTACTTTTCTGAATTTTATGTCAACACTCAGCTGTGTTGGAACTCTACATTGAAAGAGCTGTAGATAATTTCCAGAGGAGTACTGTGGGAATATTTATCTGGAAGCTTTTGTCTTGGTAAAACTCCAGTTCTCATATCATTTTTCAGTATGTCAGCATTAGTGTTGCTCTCCATAGTAGAACTAAACTTGATGGAAAGCTATCAAATTAACTTTTTTAAATTGCCAAAATATTGTCTTGACATTTCAGTATTGGATAGGAAATACCTACTCATGTTTGCTTGTTTCCCTTGCTCCCTTTCTTCTCCACCATAGAAATCCGCTATGCGACTGTATACTGGAATAGAGCTGAAAAAACACTTCAGCTCAAGAATATACTGGACAGGAGTGGAGATGCCTATGGTTTCTACAACAACACTATACAGACGACAGGTTGGGGAGTTCTGGAGATCAGAGCAGGCTATGGCAGTCAGACCTTAAGCAATGAAGACATCATGTATGCAGCTGGCTTCTTAGAAGGCTATCTCACAGCTCCGTAAGTACCTCAGGAAATAACTCAACTATGACACTTCCAGTGGATTTCTGTACTGATGAGTTTTTTGTTTGTTTTCTTTCCCTTAATTCCCATCTATTTAAACTAACCATGCATTTTGCACTGCTGTTCTTTTAATTAGTGGCAGGTGTGAAGTATAGCTTATTCATTATGGGATCAAGATGTGCCCTCTCCTTCTCATCTTGCAGGCTCTCCTAGCACCTTTGTGAGCTAGATGAGTGCAGTATCTATATTACTGATTAAGTAGTATAACCACAGAATAGTGTATGTGTAAGGAAGTGCATAAACCCTATGTTGTAAATAATTACAAAAGGGGTAGCAGGAAGAATAGTTACCTCCCTAGCCTATAGTTATGTGACTGACCAACAACTGATGAAACCATTGAGAGCAGATGGGGCATGGATAGACGTTGTAAGCATGGGCTGCAGGGCTTCTTGAAGTACCTCTTTCACCAAACAGTCAAAACTGCTGGGGAGCAGATACTGAAACATCACAGCATGAGGAGTTTAGCCTCTTGGACGAATTGAAAAAAAAAAAAAAAAGCTTGATCTATTGAGATCTATTGATAGGCTGGAAAGCAGACTGGTGTGTGTCTAGAAGGGTCAGTGTACTCCTTAAAGACCTTCGAAGGGGAGATGAGAGACTGAATCTCTCCCACAATGCAAATCTATGAAAACTTGACAGAATTTTGTACTTATTATGAATTGAGAACAGGTTTGTGGTTTTTTTTCTCTTAAAAACAACAACAAAAAACCCCAACCAACTCCAAAACCAAGCCTTATTCTTGCCTTGACTAAGTTGGAAGATGGAATGGCCCTATGACATACTAACAGATAGGATATAGCTGGTGATATAGCTGAGAACATGGCATGTGGCTTGTTGTTGAACAAGCTCCGCCTTTTCGTCTCAGCTTAGTCATAGGAGAAGAAAAATTCCCAAATTCTGATGCATGGCTGGGGAAGATTTGGGAGATGCTTATGGTGGATGCAGTGATGCAAATTTGGCTTCACCAGCTCTGCTTCCAGACACTAAAATGCATACCCATAGGCTGCATTGAATGGGCCAGCAGGGGAAGATGGTCTGTCCAGCAACTGGCAGATACGGCTGCTGGACAAGATGATATTAATCTAATTGGTAAGACATTTTAAGATCAGTTAAGATTATGGATAGTTCTCTGATCATATAATATGTTAATGTGACTGTCTAGTAGACTTTGCTGGAGAAGCAGCTAGGTCTCTGGAGAATATAAAGAAAATCCAATAAAGTAATATTTGTCAATGACAAAACACTTCTCAGGTAAAGAATAAAGGAATCCTAGAATTGAGTGTACAGCCTGCACTGCAGACAGGAAAGCAAATTAAGTACATGAGAGATCTGGATGTATGTTGTTGGATTATTTGGCATGAAAGGTTACTGTTATGTGCTATTCAGGCAGTTTATGTAAAATACATATGGATCTAGGGATGCTACTATAACATTTAGGTTATTGTTAAAATTGGATATGGCTCAACAGATCTTTTCACTAAAGCTTTACCTAGGTTTACTCATCTCTAAGTGGTTATGCTTAAGCTTTGTCATCCTACATAGAGTCCATGCTAAGCCCAACTGGATGGCAAGTAATGTTCTAGCAGCAGCAACCTACACCCTGTTCCCCTTATGCCTCTGCAGTAGATCTAGAAATCTTCCTGGCTCTTTTAAACAAACTTAAGTATATGCTCATTCCTTTAAACATGGTTTGAACTTGAAACAGTGTCTGCCAGGACTTTACCTGATGCTTAAGTCTATGCTTGCAGGAGGGAGTTTTTCCCCTTTCTTTTTGCCACGAGCGTTCAGTGAAGATTCACATAAGTGAAAGTACTCACAAGTTATTCTGCTCAAGGCTTTTTCCTTCTCTAGGTCAGGTGCTTTCTGAGGCTGGTCCCTAGCCCTAGCTGTTGTTATGGCAGGGCTACCAGCTCCAGCACCGAGTGACCCTTTGTGGAGAAGTGGATATAGTAGTAATGAACAGAGATCTGTTGTAGTCTGTGGCAGTGAAGTTGAGAGATTGTATCAATGTGGAAAAGTAGGGTTTGAGACTTTGGCTTTCAAACAAAGTAGGAAACTCAACTGTTTTAAAGGAGTTTAAGAGTGAGAGTGGGTTAGATGCAAAACCAGAAGTAGCCAAAGCCTTTCTTTTCTGAGGAAACATTTTGAGGAAATCCACTGAGAAATCCTTTGACAGTGCAAAACCTGAAAATGCTTACCATCATTAAAAACAACTATCAAATACTATACATACCATGTGAATTTGGGGTTCAGCCATGTTTTTGCTCCATTGTACATCTGCACCTGCAGTGGAAGCATATTTCTCACTGGGGGTTATGAGCATAAGCTTTTTCTGTCAGGTCTATTTCAGATAAAGGCTTCTCTTTGAAGCTAAGAAAACCTGCAGCGTTTTCAATAGGTAAGGAGCAGAGGTGAATTAGTGATGTACTCCCCTGACCCTTGAGAAGATGGAGAACCTGTTACTTCAGATCTCAGCTGCATGACCTTGGTTTTTCATTCAGCAAACTGCAGCTAATGAATCTCTTATACAGTGTGTTTGCAATTCCTGAACCACAGGAGTAGTGAGAACTCACTAAGTTTGCAGATGTTAAGATTGCTCTCAGAGCTCCATTTCTCCTTCTTTATCTTGCCTGGAGATTCACAGAATCCTAATTAACATGCAGGCAGATGTTCTTTCTTTGGAGCAGTTGCACAAGTCTTCTGAAGTAAAACCGGGAAACAGTATTTCCCAATCTGTAACTCTATTCCCATCAGACCACCTGGCCCGTTCAGCCTGTCTTCAGGGAAGCTCTCTAGCACCATTGTGATGTCTTTTACGAGAAGGTGTCTCTAAATGCTCTCGTTCTGCTTCTGCAGATATCAATGCCCACAGAAGCAGCACACAGTTCATCCTTCCTTTTTTTAAAAACTTGGTAACAAGAAGGAAGAGTGTAACAATGTGTTTGGTTGTGATGAAGGCTTTATTTGCATCAACAGCCACTTAGCTACTGAAGATGCTTGTGTCACTTGCCTGTACAAGCACCACCTCGGGTGGCTCAGGCACAGCCTCCCAGTGTGAATACATTGGGTATGGCCTGGTAATTGAAGTGCCCTCTAGCACATTGCTACCTGTACCCTCAACAGCTCCAAGGTCTCCAATTTTCTTGCGTCTGTTTGTAGCAATGACTCCGTGAAGTAGAAATGACCCAAGTGGCTCCTTGCAGAAACCCTGAACTTCCACCAGGAAGAGCTCTGATGTGATGCATTATTGGGAGGAATGCGTTGCAAGCCTGACCCCAAGTTGAAGTACAGGTTTCTGCAGAAGATGAGCAGGAGCTCCATTTTGACAGTGCCTACAATGTGGAGATCTCCAGGAATTCTGAGCTGACTCAGTTCTTGTATTGCACTTAGGGCATGAAGGAGGGTTTGTAAACAGAGCTAGGCTTCATGATGTAAGTAAAAGTGACAAAATATCTCTCCTAAAAGTGTATGCTTTGTCCTAAGCAGAATGTAAGACAACCAGATTTAAAAACAAACAAATAAAAACCCTAAAACATGCTAGGACAGTTTTATCTCAGATTACCGGGGAATAATTAATTTCAGCTCTAGCTATATAGGTCTGTGGTAGAAAAAACAGTAACTAAGTTAGTCAGACTTGTTTACCAGTGAGGGTAGAAACACAGACCTTTTCTAGAGCATGATTCATCTTTCTGGTGTTGACACCTGATTCAGATAGTAGTTTTCCATTTTGAAAACATATGGTTAGGGATGGAATAAATCTAATTCTAGTGTCTGGAGATCAGACCTTGTTTTTATCACCAGTCTCTCACTTCTCTGTTAAGTCCAGTCCTATCAGCCAGCCAAAGGTGTTTGCTCTGATTTTCTTGGGTATGAATTCTTTTCCACCATTACAAATAGAAGTGTTAATGAGGCCTCACTTTACTTTGGAAATGGCAGAGCACATCCAAATCTGTGACGTTAAGCATATACTTCTAATGAGTTCCAATTGAGGCATGCCAGGTGCCTAAGAGCAGTATTTAAATTTGAAGCAACATTAATTGTACTCTTTTTTTCTGATAGAACCCTAGCTGACCTGAGTCCTGTCATCTTCCTCTCTAATTTGAAGAAGCAAGGCTCTGCTTTGCTGTTTTTAGACTTTGAATTCTTGTCTCGGCTTTATAATTGCCTTGCATTTGGCCTTAGATACAGTTGTAAAGCCTTACCTTACTATAATGATCCAATTTACTTCAGAGGATAATACCCTTACAAAACATGCAAGCTACACACATAGAAGCTTTGTTAAAGCAAAAAAAAAAATTAAACAGGGCAACCAGGGGAAAAATTCTCAACCTTGGGCATTTAAAAAAGACAAAAATCAATTCCAGGAATTGTATGTCCTCTGTTAGCATAGGCAAGAAGGAAGGCCATTAAAGAAGCTGAATTCAGTCCCCTGATGCTGAACTAACCCAGTAGCTACATCAGTCATCACAGCTTAAAGATACTACTAGTGTAGAATCTGCCTTATGTTGCATAACCTTTGAGTACAAAATGAAGAGAGTAGAGCTGATGGTTGAACCTGGAAGCTTGTCCTGGCCTAGGCAGGGATTAAAGTAGTATCCTGGCTGTTTTTATTCTCCTCATCTGGTTCTCATCCCTAGAAGACCATCTGCCAGATGGAGTGTCTCGTGCTATTTGCTCTTCCTCTCTAGTGCCACGGAAGTTCTGACTTGTAGTATGGAGTACATTACGCTATAATTCTCTTCCTAAAATTGCTTCGGATTTTTATTTGCCAAATTCTCTGACTGCAGGGTTGGAGATTATTGATCTGTCTCTCTTCAACTTTCTTGTCCTCTTCAACAAGTAGTTTATGATTATGGCAGGTAGTCTTGTGTTAAGTGGGAGACAGGAAATTCTAGAACTAAAATTGATATTATAGCTGCAGTTCTGTGAAAGGTGTAATGGTGCGAAGCTGCTGAATGTTCCCCTCTCTTACCCAGTGCATCCCTCCACAGATCCAAACCTCCAGCTTGTGTCTGCTCTGGCACTGATTGAGCCCTTTCATGCATCAGTTCAGTTACTAACACAGTAGAGAGCTTCCTTCTTGCACCACCTATGTTGCTTATCTGTCTACATAACAACCTAATTCAACTACAAACTGTAGTTTTCCTTTTTTTTTTTTTTTTTTTTGGATTAATGTTTTGCCTGAATGTAAGCCAATAATTAGATTCAGTAGTCAGAATGGTACCAGAGCTGAGATAAATATGCAGGGTCATGCAATCAAGTGCTTAAACAGCTAGGAATGGGGCAGGAGATAGAAAAAGAGGGGAGAAGGTCAATGAATGATTCTCTAATTATCAACAAACCATTCAGTCCTCCCTGGATGTATTCTCAAATTATGTCCTGAGGGAAACTGGGAAGAGCTCCTGTCTGCATCCCTCTCTGAGGAAGTTACCCTCATGAGTTTTAATACAGGGAATTCTGTCCTACTGGCATGTACTTTCCTTGAGGATGGTATCTGTTTCTGAGTTCTGTTTTCTTTTTCTCAGCACTTGGTAGGAGCTAATTTTACTGATGACTGAGGGAGTTCTACCAACTCCAGACCTCAGCGAAATAATTTTCTGCTGATTTTCACCTAGAACTAAATACTCCTTTCCCCTCCTCATTTTTTTAATTCAGTTGCTGAAAAAAAAATATTTTAACATTTGCCCCGATTTATGAAATGATAGAAGAAAAAATTAACAGAATAAGAAAACCCAAAAGTTCTTTTTTGATTTGAATCAGACTATTACATTTGACTCTTTTGGGCTCCTGAGCAATTTTTGGCAGTTGATTTCATCTTGAAATGTAAAGTGCTTCACTTTAACAAACCAACCAAAAAACAGCCAATCAACCATCCAAAAGGACTCCTACAATTTTTGTTTCTATTAGTTAATGGGGATGAAACAGTTAACTGAATTCAGCAAAGAAAATCACAATAATTTTGGTCTCTGTAAAGCTGAATCTGTTTAGGGCTGGCATGAGTGGGAGTTTCTATGGGAACACGTAGGATCAACATATACATGTTTTAAAATAGAAAGATTTAGCTTAATTGATAAGGAAGTAACATGGTTAATGGTAAGTAAAACCTGCTAGATTTCAGGCTGAAATTCTCTCGTAGAACTGAATTAGCTAATTATATTCTCCTCACCTCTGTTTTATTGGTTCCAAGTAGAATAGCCCTGCAGTAAACTATTTTTGTTGTGATTTAAATTAATGTACAGTTTGAGCAGGTATTAACAAGGTCGTTGATTTTAAGTTAAATTTCAACAATCCGCTGTTACGTTTGCTATTTGTCATGCATTAAAGATATGAAGTAATTTCTTTGATTATGAAGAGCTTATTTTGTGGACTGTGGTGCTTGTCTATCAATGCTTGTTGACCAGTGAGTTGGTAAACAAAAGGGTGGGAAAAAGCAAAGGAATAACTTCTGCTACTCTTGTTCTTTCAGGCACATGTATGACCATGCTGCAAATATGTATCCGCAGTTAATTAAGAATCCCACCGTTCGAAGTGGAGTTCAGAATTTTATGGCGTATGTATTTAGTTACTAGAAAATAAATTATTCAAGACTTGGGGTTGAAGTGTGACGAAATTTTCAAGGGTTTTTTATTCTTTCCTTATGGGCTAAAGAAAATACATGCTTCCTTTCCCTCTGAATGCTGTTATATATATAATATATATATATAGCTGCTGTTAGTAGAAAAAAATTCTAAATGTATATGAAGGGCTTATGCCCTTTCCCAATTCTGATTCTTTCAAGGAAATTTTTAAAACCATCGATACAAAGGGGTGTGGATAATGCCAATGAATGCTGAATGTCATTCTAGTCAAAAAAAAAAAAGCTGATATTTTGAATGTTACATTGAACAGTGTGGTCTCTTGGCACCTTAATCTTTTTAGCACTGTATGTCCTTTCCTTCCTCTGTTAGGTTAGCATTTCGCTTATTCTACCACTGAGGTAAAATCTGTTCTAATCACAGAAGTCCTGATTCCTTTTTCTCTTCAGCTGTATAAATCAAAAGTAATTCTGCTCAAATAATGCAGCTACACTATTGGGGAAACTACAAGTGGGAGAACAACCAGGCCTGGTACTGGGAAACTCAACTGTGATTACAGCTTCTTTAAATGTCCTTACACTTACCTTTTCTTCCATTACAAATACTTCTGTGAAACTTTGGTAATTTCTGGGAACTGTTTTTTCCATCTTGTCTTGTGCTTTCTGCAAAGGGTTATATATCTGATTAATCCTGTTACTGGTGCACGTGTCTAAGTTGATTTGTTTTAGCTTATCCAAAAGAACAGAGGAAAAACCTTACTATCATTCTTCAGCTGTCCTTGTGAGAAAAAATGGACTAGCTACCATATCAATGTGCATGGGGTGTTTTGTTTTTTTTCCCCCAGTGTGACTCAGCATAGCAGCTGTATCCCCCAATATACATTGTTGGAGGATGGGGGAAATACTAGGTGGCCTTGTATCATTATTTTTTTTTATATTCTAGACTCCTGCATTGCTGCTTTACTTAATAGCTGTCTTGAAATACGGGCTGCTCTGTTGTCCTGAACGCTCTGACCATATCCCTGTTTTCTCTGACGTACTTCTTACATCTTGTTACTTCCAGAAAGCTGAATCTGGCTGGTTTTGTCACTTACAGGCTGCTGGAAGAGTTTGCTTCCTTGCCCGGTTCATTCTCTCCTTTTTTGCTGCTGTACATAGCGCTGGGTTGGATAGATCCAGGAGGATGGATGAGGCTGGAATCTAGTCCATGCTTATTCTGACAATAGTAGTTCTTCTGTGGCAGTTTGAGCACAGCAAAGGGAGGGAACCCTGGGAAGTCCTTATAATGTTGGCTGCTCTTGCCCTAGGGTCTGTTCAGCTTGTGTTGCCTCATGCTCTAAACCTGGGTTATTTGGCTAGTAACCTCTTGAGTGGATTTGGCACGTGGGATGGTTATGTTTGGCCTCCCACCTTTTCCTCAGAAGTGGGATAGCAGTGGTTCTTAGGCAGTGGTTGAGCACCACCAGCAGCATGCCTTCATTGCACTTGTATATAGGGGAGAGGAACAGGCTCTTTAAATGCCTTAAATAGGCATTTAAAAGGGAATGATTCATCTGACCTATGAAATGCTTGTTTCTCTTTACTGGCCATAAGGGGATACTAGATCTAATGTAGCAGAGTCCCCCACAGAGGTGGAGTCCAATTCTTTCTAGTAGAGGCACACTGCCATGGGTAGGGTAGGTTGCATGGATCTGAATGTTTACAGCCAGAGGATGTTACATTTATGTCTGCAGAACTTCCAAAGCATGATTGCCTCAAAACACTAGGAAGGTTAGATCATCTGGCTCAGATTTGTCCCTTCACTGCATTATCAATTATACTCTACAACAAAACCAAGAAAACCCCAACCTGTTTGTTCCTCTGCAGGAAACAAGATCAATGGACAAGACAACAAATCAGAAATAATAAGGATGACCCCTTTTGGAGGCATGCTGGCTATATTATTGCACAGTTGGATGGTCTGTACATGGGAGCCCTCGAGTGGGCTAAACTACACAAACAAACAGTAAGATTACTGTATCTCTTTTTCAGTAGCTGGGGATGGGATGTCAGAGAACAAGGATGGGAGAAGGGGATCTGATATTTAGAAAAGAAAAAAAAGAGGAGGATAACTAGTGGCAAGTACTCGTTCTGCATGCCGTGCTACAAATACTTCAGTGGCTGTTCAATGTAGATAATGTGACTGAGCACTTGGGTCATGTCACCACTGATCCTTTGCACTGGACTTAGAACCCTGGGTGCTCACGTGCTGATTAGATTGGGGGTGGCTTTTATATCCATGTGTGCATGTTGGAAGGACAGACACTTCTAAAGTGCTTGCTGTTGTCACTTTACAGTTGTTATTGAGCAGATGACCTTGTAGGTATAAAGAGTAGCTGCAACAGCATGAATCAGCAAGTGGGGAGTGTATTAAAGCTTTCATTCTTATTTCCAAGCATCCGATTTCAAATCTTTAAAGTTTCTCTGTTTTGGAGTATGCTTTATATTGCTAAATGTCTTCTCTTTTTCTGTCTTCTAAGTCTCTCATTACAAATTATATGGTCATTGCTGTGACAGGCCAAATGGGATGGAATTTTTGGGGTTTTGTTCATTTTATTTTTTTAAATTCAATTAGAATTGTGTTCCAGATCATCAGCTTGAGTGCAGTAACAAAGCTGCTTTAGCTCCAGTAGAGCTATTGTAATTACAGTGCTGTCCTTAAGTCTAATGTCTAATAGGTTTCTCAATGTGAGAGGGTGAACTTAAGTGATTATAGTTCACCCCTTTTGTCTTGGTTTAACCATATCAAGAATTTAGAGAAGTTGGGAGTGCTAAATAATAAACAGTTTGGTTCTAGTAAAATACACATCTCTTTCTTGTATAGAACTTGCTTTGGAGCTTTCATGAATGGAGAATTGTTTAAAATTAAAAGACTGTTCACAATAACGGAAAGATCCATCCTGATGGGCCTGAGTTACAGAGAAGATACTAAAACCCCTTGATTTTCTAGGAAAAGAAACATTAATTCCCTGTCATAACACCCATATGTGAAGAGCCCTGCAAAGCTCATAAATTTTTTTGGCTGCTTTAGAATCCTTTAGATTCAGATGTGGGGAGCAGAAGCTGCTAGTTTGTGCCAGAGCTATTTCTTTATAATAGGCCTGTCCTACCTGCAATATGCGTTCCCTCATACTTACTTAACTGTGTGTGTGATACTAAAAAGCACTGACCTCTGAAGTGACAAAGTCATTCTTAATCCTCTTTTCAGGTATCCCAACAGCATGCCTATATAAAAATGGTGCATTTAATGACAGTTCAAATATGTGGTTCAGTCTGAAATATGTGTCCTATTTTTGAATTATATGCAGTGGATATATAGAGGTTTTTTTTCCCAAATGTGCCTGCAGCAGATGGTGGGATTTCAGTGCCATTCACAGTTTTAGCTTTTAGCATTATCACTATGTTGGGACCATGGCTTTTTATTAAGAGCAAGAATTTTCCCCGTGTGTTTATTTCTCACTTGAGATGGTGCTGCAGGTTCCTCTGGCTGCCAAAGCCAGTAAGTTAACATCAGTTCTTTTGCCTTCGAGTACAGCTTGGACAGCTGCTTTTGCACCTACGTGTTTGGTTTTCCTTGGCATTAACATGATACCTGACAGCTCTGCAAAAGTACATGCAGTTCACTTTATTGGGTACCAGGGTATTTTTCAAATACTTTGGGAGATCAGGCTACAATGGTGCTATTTGTATACATATTTACTGCTGTTAGGATCCCCTTGAGGAAATGAAGAGCTTGAAGACACTTGCTCTTGAGTTTGTACAGAGAATATTATGGACTAATATTTTAGCTTTGGGACATCCACTTACCTGAGAATTAACCCAGTTTCTGTAAACTGTTGGAAATTAAAAGAAATAAACTAAACTAAAACCCAAGCAAATAAAAAAACTCTAGAAGATCAACAGTATCTTCCTTCTCCCTTGTGATTGAAGAACATCTGCCCTCCAAAGAGGCTGTTTTTCAACTTTGCTCTTGCAGTACATAGTACAAGCATGTTAAAAAGGTTCTTTCATTTCATCCCCTAGATTGTTAGTAAGTAGAATGTTTAGCAAATAAATTCAACTAATAGATGACTTTTTCCTTATTTCGAAGTATTATACTTTGGTTCAATTCATCCAATGTTGTTTTGATCTTTCTCTAGGCAACAACTGCAGTAGCAAATATTTACTATTTCCATTACTCATTTCTCTCCTTAGAAAATAATCAAACTTGTTACTGGAAGCCCCCACAACCAGTTTTGCATGTTTTTAGTAGCAAAACTCATTCCTGTTGGATGTTTTCCTTAGTTCTGTGAGAGTCTCTTCCCTCTTTCCTTTGGTAGATTCTATTTTGTTTCATTAAAAAAAATCCATTCTATATGTGTATTGTCTCTAGGATTATTATCATCAGGAACAAGTTCACCTTTTGATCTCTAGTGTTGCAGTAGTCTGCATTCATGGTGGTAATGAACATTAGAAATATTGAGAGTATCTCATGTGTGGGTTGTGTGGTGGTTTTATTTTATGTTTTATCACACACACCCCACAAATCCAAACCAAACCAAAAGCCACCACAAACCAAAAAAAACCTGAACCAAAACCCAACATGTGACAAGCTGTGTTTTGTTACCTCAGTTCTAACTCTAGTGGGAAAAACGATGCATACTTCTAAATACAGTTGGTTACTTTGTAATTACTCCTTACATGCAAAGAGTAATTTCCTCCCCTGTGTCCTAAGCTTCAAAGAAGGTTAAACACTGCAGAAGAAAGATTGGGAAGTCTTACTTTTCCCTCTGTCTTTCAAAAGATCAGAGATATGGGGAAGAGAAAGAGAGGAAGAGGTATGTTTCAAAGTTCTTACATTCCTTCCCTGTTTGCAATGAACAAAATGTTCTCCTGAGTACTAAGAACTTCGTTGATTGACAAAGATCGGTCAAAAGATGGAGAAAAGGGACTGTGTTTACAAAGTCTGTGGATTTCAACACTGAGCAGTGGGCAAAGTTTAACAAAATTGTTCCCTTCTCAGGGGAATGGAAACAAGCTGTATCAATAGCTAATCTGCTTTTAATCTTGCACATTTCACGGAATCATGGAATTGTCAGAGTTGGAAGGGACCTCTAGAGATCATCTAGCCCAACTCCCCTGCTGAAGCAGGATTGCCCAGAGCACATTACTCAGGACTGCATCCAGGCGGGTCTTGAAAATCTCCAGAGAAGGGGACTCCACGACCTCCCTGGGCAGCCTGTTCCAGGGTCTGTCACCCTCACTGTAAAGAAGTTTTTCCTCGTATTTGAATGGAACTTTCTGTGTTCCAGCTTGTGCCCGTTGCCCCTTGTCCTGTCACTGGGAACCACTGAAAAGAGTCCGGCTCCATCATCCTTCAGCCCACCCTTTAGGTACTTGTAAGCATAGATAAGGTCTCCCCTCAGCCTTCTCTTCTCCAGGCTAAAGAGCCCCAGCTCTTTGAGCCTTTCCTCATAAGGGAGGTGCTCTAATCCCTTAATCATCTTTGTTGCCCTACGTTGGACTCTCTCCAGTAGTTTCCTGTCTCTCTTGAGCTGGGGAGCCCAGAACTGGATGCAGTATTCCAGTTGTGCCTTCACCAGTGCAGAGTAGAGGGGGAGAATGACCTCCCTTGACCTGCTGGCCACACTCTTCCCTATGCAGCCCAGGATTCCATTGGCCCTCTTGGCAACAAGGGCACATTGCTGGCTCATGGAAAGTTTGCTATCCACTAGGACTCCCAGATCCTTCTCCTCAGTAGTGCTTTGCAGAAGATCCACCCCTAACCTATATTGGTGCTTAGGGTTCTTCCTCCCCAGGTGCAGGACCCTACATTTGCCCTTGTTGAACTTCATTAGGTTCTTCTCTGCCCAGCTCTCCAGCCTGTCCAGGTCCTGCTGGATGGCAACACAGCCCTCTGGAGTGTCGGCCAGGCCTCCCAGTTTGGTATCATCAGTGAACTTGCTGTGAGGATACGCTCTGTCCCCTCATCCAGGTCATTGGTGAATATGTTGAACAGGACTGCGCCCAGTGTTGACCCCTGGGGGACACCACTGTTACAGGTCTCCAGCTTGACCCTGCTCCATTAATGACAACCCTTGGAGTTCTGTCACACAGCCAGGACTCAATCCACCTCACTGTCCCCTCATCCTATACTTCCTTAATTTTCTAATGAGGATGTTATGGGAGACAGCGTCAAAAGCCTTGCTGAAGTCAAGGTAGATGACATCTGCTGCTCTCCTCTCATCCAGCCGTCCAGTTATAACATCATAGAAGGCTATCAGATTGGTCAAGCCTGATTTACCCTTGGTAAATCTGTGTTGACCACTTCGTATTACTTCTTGATCTTCAATATGTTGAGATTTCATGTGTCAAGATTTCATATCAGCACTACGCATACCTTTTCAAACTTGCAAGTAGTTGGAGTCTTACATTTGGTGGATTAGTTGATGTGCACCTATTTGAAGAAGACGAGTGAAAAGATCTGACTTTCCACTGTCGTGTACGATGCTTGGTAGTTTGAAGCTATGCCAAATCCACACAGTGCTTAAATGATAGAGTTGGATTATGTGCACACAGGCCACTGAAATGTTCCATTTTTCTTTTCTCCCCTAAACTTAAGGTCTACTTCACTTGAATATTGTAGAACCATTGTGTCTGCCACAAATAACCAATCCTTCCTACAGGAAGAAAATTTGTTTTGGACTCTGAACTGTTTGGATAGCAGTACTAGTACTTTTTTTTATTCCTACATGTATGAAGTATATGCCTTGGAGTGTACTGTTCTAAACTTTTTTTATTAATTACATGAATTAATTAATTTCTGCAGGTCTGTTTTGGGTAGGTGCTTCCATTGAGACCTGCATGAAGGCAATGTATACTGTAAACTTCTGTACTTTTGAATTTAATATTCACAGGTATCAGTAAGAATGATGTCAAAATCTGAATACATTTTCACGTTAAAGTGTGACATGATTCCATCTGGTT